AAAAAACAAGACTTTAAAATGCTGGAGCGTCTCATCAGAACGGATAGGGTATTTTGTCCCAAGTCTGTAAAACAAACAGAAAAGCCCCAGTCGGCTGCTCCCTTTCCTTCTGACCTGGTGGGGGTTGGGAGGGAGCAGGCCGGACACCTAATAAGGCTCCTTCTGGCCTCCTCTGGCTAAGCCGTTTGACCCAGAGACTGGGGCTGGCATCTTTCTCTACAGAAAGATATTTTAGAAAAACATTCCCCCCACCCCATGAGTTTTTTTCTCTTGATTGATTTTTATTGTTTTCCCTTTACTTACAAGAAAATGAGATCACAACCACTCCTGGTAATGATTTAGTAGTTCCTTTTCATTTCAGTTTTTGTAAATTAGGAGATAATTCTAAGTTACTAAGGATGATTTATTTAAGAGAACTACGTCAAATAGCGAATGAGTTATGGGTAACATTAGATGAAAATAACCTTTCCCGTGGGAAAGGTTTCTCGAAGGCATGGATGCAAATATAAAATATAAAAAAAAAAATCTAAATAAAGCTTATTTTAAAATATTATCGAATTCTATGTTATTTGATTGCTTCTATCTTGCTCCGAGTGGGAGGCAAAGCCCCCATGACCTGCTCCTTGGAATTCCAGGGCTGGGTGCTGAGGGGGTAGTGGGAGGGGCCGAGGAAAGCTGGCTGGATTCTGGGCCCACGGAGGGGCTGACGCTGGGGTGGTCTCCCAGAAACATTTCATCTTTGCCGCCCTTAATGTCAGCATCCAGGGTTGCCCATGGTCCTAAATGCGCCAGCTCTGAGCCTGGCACCCTGGGCCCCACATTCTCCAGCTCAGCGCCCCCGTCAGCTTTCACCGGCTTCCTTCTCCCCCCTGGCGTGCCTTCCAAGGCCCAGAGGTGGGGCCTGTGAGTTTGGGGCATGTTGCTTCCTGCAGACCTCTCTGGGCCTCTGCATGGTCCCAATTTCCCACCTTCCCTGGGGACTGAGAGGAGCTAAAGGGAGAAATTGAGGGAGTCACAGGGCTTCCCTGATGAAGCCAGAGTGAGCCAGGCTTTTCTGAGCCCCATGAGACCCCCCTGACACAAAGCCAAGGCCTCCCCCAGTGAAACTCCAAGAAGAGGCCACCGGATAGCCCAATACCTAATTGCAGCCAGTGCCCTCAATCTGTCTCTCAACCTAGAAATAAAACCTCTCCAGCAATAAGACTGATGGAAGACTGGCCTTTTAACTCCCCTGCCATTTCTGCTAGGAAGAAAGCTCAAAGCTCCGTGATACGTAGACCATGCCGAGAGGTTACAGGGCCCAGGACTGCAAGGAACTTAGGGGCGTCTGCCCCAGCCATTCTCAACCTGGCCACACAGTAGAAGCANCCTTTGAGTGACTGACTTATTGGTCAGAGGGTGTTGGGAGTCGAGAGGCCAGAGCAGGAAGAAGAGCGCCTCGGGCTCTCTGGCCAGGACCCCGGATCTAGACAGTATCTCACTGAGCCCCAGGCCGTCCCCACCGAGCCACCCGGGAGTGTCTGCTTCAGGGGTGGGGGGTGGGCTCTGCACCACAGAAGCAGGGTAGTCCCTAAGGGTTGGCTTCCTTTCATGGAAGACCCCATACCCGGGGCCACCTCTGCTCTCACGTGTCATGTGTCTCTGCTGTTTCATCTTTCTCTTCTCCTTTGGCTACAGGGCGACAGTCCCGGCCCGGTTCAGAAGAACCTGCACAACCCCATTGTACAGGTAGGTGTGCCTTCACAGGGTATTTGGGCCCTCCCTTCGCCGCAGCCTGACCATGACCTTATCCCTGTTACCCGGGCCCTTGGCATCCCCACTTCCATACTTGGGCACCCAAGGAGAGAGGAGTTAAGGCGCTACGTGAGTCACCTGTGGGTTGGTGCCTGAACCAGGCTCAGCGCTTGGGTCTGCCCTTCCCTCCCCTCTTCTGGACCTGTTGACCTACTAAGTGCATCACACATCCTCCATCCTGCCTCTCTGGTAGTTTCTCCTGGCAGCCAAAGGCTGATGACCTGAGCCATGGGCTCATTGGGCCCCTCATTGCAGGAAACTTTTATGCCTTTTTAACATTTGAATATTCTATAATCAGAGTGAGGCAGGGGCTGCAAGGGGAAAAAACAACATGAATTTGAGGGTCAGAAGGGGTCTCTTGAGGTCAGCTTTGTAGTCCTGGGGTTGCCACATGCTGGTCTATGTACCCATTCATCTGCTTCAGGGTCCGCCAGGGAAGTTTTTCAAATGCAGATTCCTGGGCCCAGGTGTGGGTGGGCCTGGAATTCAGGACATGTGTTTTGGGAACCATTAGTCTAGTCCAGGGGTCGGCAAACTTTTGAGATGGAAGAGCCAATCCTGTCCCTCACAACAATTTAAAAACTATTCGAGAGCCGTAAAACAAATGAAATCACCATCATGTGAATAATAGCCTTTAAAATTTTTATAAATGAAACTATGATAGTTTCATTTTCATTTTCAGTTTTACTTCAGAGCCACATGTACGTACCCAAAGAGCCACATGTGGCTCGCAAGCCGCAGTTTGCTGACCCCTGGTCTAGTCTAACCCTTACCTTTTTGAGGGAGAATGGCTCCACATGTCTGTATAATGCACTTGACAGTTTGCAAAGCTCTCCGGCAGACACCACCCTCCAATCTCCATAGTTACTCCATAATCAGGACACACACCCAAGCCCCTGCCTCCCCGCTCTTCCGCGGCCAGTCCTGCTTCTTGTCCAGGCCTTCAATTCAGGTCTGGGGTCCTTGCTCTTGGCAGACACAAAGCTCAGGTTTTCTCCTTCCTCGTTCTCTGGGTTCTCCCAGGCCCCCTTGTCCTGGGGACATTTTTCACGGGGAGATTGTACACATGCTGCAGTGCCCCCTGTAAACAGGACCTGTTGCCCACCTGTGGGCATTCCTGCAAGCCCTCAAGGTTGTGGGCAAATAATTTAAATGATAATAGTACAAACATCACCGGCAGCTGAGGGTTATGTAACGCTTCTTATGTGCCAGGCACTGTTCCAAGAGTTTTTTTATCCTCACTTGAGTGGCATCCTCATGACGGTCTTGGATTGGGCCTGCTGTTGTCTCTGCGAGATTCCCTAACTGGCCCAAGTTCCGTGACAAGCCCTGGCTTTCCTAACCACTGGTGGCCCCTGTCCCCCCCCCCCTTCCACTCCCAGCTCAGTTTGGCTTTGTTCTTCTCCCCTCTACCTCTGCCACTTGGCCGGACCCCTCAGTCACTAGAGGATCTTGAAGACCAAAAACGGAAAAAGAAGAAAGAGAAGATGGGATTCGGCTCCATCTCCCGCGTCTTCGCCAGAGGGAAGCAGCGGAAGTCCCTCGACCCCGGCCTGTTTGATGGTACCGCCCCTGATTATTACATAGAGGAGGACGCGGACTGGTGATACCCGCCTCCCTTCGCCTGCTGCCCGGCAGGCGTGTCTGTGTGTGTGGCTGTGCGTGTGGATGTGTGAGCGTGGGGCGCGCGTGGGGGCGTGCGTGGCGGTGCGCGTGAATGTTGGGTGCTGGGTGTGGCCAGGCGCAAACACACATGTGACCCCTCCCCCGTGCGTCGCCACCTCTGTAATTGATGTACATACTACAAACGTGTGTGAATATGTCAACTCTTTGTCGTCTTTGGAGCGATACAGTTGTGTTGTTAATCTGGGTTTGTTTTGTTTCTGTTTTGTTTTTGTTTTTTAATGGTTTTTTTTTCCTTTTTGTTTGGTTCGTTGGGTTGTTTTCTTTTCCCCTTCTCCCCTCCCCTCCTCCTTTTTATGAAACTTGAAAACTTGAAGGACTGCTGTGTATTTGTAAATAACAAAACTATTGTGCACTCCGTGCTTGTAAATGTCCCTTGTCCAAACTGCTACTCCGGAGCCTGTCTCCCCGAGGATGTGGTCTGTTTTTGACGCCCCACCCCCAACCCCCGCCCGGTGTGAACGTGTGGGACCAGACCCTGTTCTCGGGGCGTGCCCAAGTCACTTTAACCACAAAACGCCATCGTCGTCAGGGTAAGGTCCACTCTCTGCAGTCTTGAAAGCCCGGCCCAGGGGCCTTGCCTTGGCTGGGTTTGTTGAGGTCAAACGGGCTCTTTTTAACGGCTTGCCCGTTTTTTAAATTGAGTTGCCATTTCTTTCTTGATGGGGAAAAAAAAATTTGTTCCATTTAATTTATTTGCACAAATGCAGAAGACTTATTCTATCTAAATTATTACATAAATATCGGAATGTATATTTTTCCATGGGGCGGGTGGGAGGCGGGTGTTTCTGTGGACTTGTCTGTTCTGTTATCACGCTGCTGCCAAACTGCACAAGGTAGGGTTTAGGGTGGCCCTGGGATTCCAAAGCTTGCTTTTTTCCATTCTTTCTTCTTCTCTCCCCATTCTTCAGCCCCTGCATGGAAGTACGCTCCATCCTTCTTCCCACCCATAGCTCTCTCCAGGCCTGCCTATATATATTTATTTATCTGAAATACAGAGCACTGACCTCAGTGAGCAGAGGCACCTACTGTAATGGTCACCTTCTCTTGGGTCTGTCTNCATGTGCGGTTGTGTCTAGAAGCACTGATGATTGGGTGTGAGGTGTGGGGCCTCTAAGCTTCTCACTTGGGAAGCCAGCAGTTAGGATGGCACCAGGTTTAGGGAACATCCAGGTGGTGGGAGCATTGTGAGGATGGTCACTGAGGTCCCCAGAAACTCCTGTCTCTTCCTGTCCTTCACCCTGGTTAGGAGGGAGCCAAATTGGATCAACAGGCTATAGAAGATTCTTCCTGGCAGCTGCCCTCTGGTGACGGGTGGGACTGTGGGATAGAGGGACGGGGAGCTGGGCAAGTATCTTCTCGACATCCCCGTGTTCTCATCTGTGTAACGGGGGCATCGGGTGGAGCCACCTGCAAGCAGAGGCGAGGACATTCTCCATCCCTCGCTGACCAGCTGTCCCTGCTTTCCAGCAGTCAGGGTGAGCCCGTGCCACTCCCGGCAGCCCTCTGTCATCTCCGACGCATCTGCTGCAGAAGGCGACCGGTCATCCACACCAAGTGACATCAACTCCCCTCGACACCGGACGCACTCCCTCTGCAACGTAAGGCTAGCAGCAGCAGGGCCTGGGCGCTGGGCCCTGCCCGGAAACTGCTGGGCGGGTGGAGGGGTGAAGACGTACCCGCTGTTTCCTCTCGTCTACCCAGGGAGCACACTGGCGAAGGCATTTCCTGTTCTGTTCTTTCCTTTTGCAAGAAGAGATGGATGTGGGGAGAGAAAGGAGGCCCATTTGCTCCTTGTGTCCGGGAGGGCAAGGAGACTCCTGAGGAAGGCGGGCCTGGGACGGCCGTGGGGTCTGTGCAGCCCGGGGTTCCCTCGGGTGGGCTGTGTCTGGGACCCTGGGCTTCTCCTCCCAGACGTGACCCTCCGGAGCTCGGGGCCTGACCAGCACACTGCGTTTCCCGACAGGGCCAGCTCTCGGTCCTTCGTCCAGGAATGAGCCGGAGTTTTTTGAGCTTCCAGCTTTGGCGCGTATTGCCTCTGGAGAGGCATCCATGAATTTGTTCTGTTTACTTTGCTTATTTAATCAAATGCTGTTTGATTGCATACTGGGCACCAGCTACCGAGAGGCACATGTCCCTAGTCACCTGCCTCTCAATGACTAGTAGGGCAGACAGACTCCCAAGGAGTAAGGGGGTGAACAAAGGTGGGTCAAGCGTCTGAGGACCAAGGACACCATGTCTAGGCCCTGACGTGACACACTGGGGTCAGGGTGTGGGGGCCACTCTTCATTTGGGTTCCGTCACGTGACCGATGATACAGAGGGCTCCCCTGCCATGTCCTGAAGACAGAGACGATAGGGTTAGTCTTCAAATGCTTGGGGAGGCGTTCTCAGAAACTCAGCTAATGTTGCTTTGTTAACCAGCGAGATAGATAATTTAAAAATAAAATGAAGTAAATGCAGCAGGAAAGAAAGACCCGTGATAGGATGATAACCTGAAAAACTCAAGAGAATAACCTTGAAAAGCCATTAGAACTAACAGTAAGCTAGTACATAACGGTACTGGTTGAAAATGAATTCATAAAAATCAGTAACTTTTCTACATACTTGTAATCAGAATGGAAATTTTTTTCTATCTACACTAACAATGAAAAGCGCTTATAAAAATAGCTAAGACTAAACTCAAAATAAGTGGCCGCAGCCTGGTGATGTGCGCAGCAGGATTGCTGGCCCGGGGCCGCCTTCAGCCCACATCAGGATGGGGAGAAGGTCGCTTGCAGGCCTGGGGCCCCACAGAGCTGGGATTCCTTTTTAACTAGGGCTTTTAAAAAGGAAGCAATGTGTTCTTCTCTTGTCCCGAGGAGAGAACCCTGGTGACAAAGGCTGTACTGACTGACAGAGCCAAAGCAACGGCCGCTAGAGGGGCCCTCTGATGTCAGTTTCTGGTTCTCAGGGGCCACTGCTAAGTTATACCTACAGCCAGCAGTCCCCTTCACTCTTACAGTATGGGCCAGACACTCTATAGTATCTGTGCACACCCCAAATGAGAATAGCTTCCCAAGAGCCCTATCTTTTGGTCTTCTCATGGTGGACCCAAGGGGGGCGCTGACGGCCGAAATGCTGCTGGAAAATCTATTCTGCAGAAAGCGTTCTCGAAAGGCCTAGAGACCTTCACCTTTCTCTCTCTTCTTCATTTGGCAACAGGCCAAGCCTTTTGCCTAACTTGGCCCTGGCACCTAGCTATTGCTACAGGCTCCGTGTCCAGCTCACTTATTTCCAAGCTCACCTTAACAGGGCCCTGCTGCCAGGAAAGGGGTGCTTTGATAAGCCAGTTGTCTGCGTACAGGCTTTTCACTGGGCACTGGCCTCATTTTCTTCCCCATAAATTTGGCAAAGGTGGCCGTACCCAGAGTAAACCTATTTTAGCTGCCTGCCAGTGAGTTCTGTTTGCAAACCTTGAGATGAGACTAAAGACTAAACTACCATTTGTCCCAACCCCACCCTCCTTAAACCACCTTCACCACATCTCAACAGATGTGCGCACGAG